ACGGGAAAGATTCCCCCCCCTTGTCTGAAGACCTGGAGGAGGACATCTTGGAGGGACGTCACCTTCGTCGTCGTCGCCGTCGTCGTCGTCGTCGGGATGGTCGTCGTCGTCGTGATGTTCGCCAAAGGATATCGTCATTATGGGGACAATGATTACGCGGAGCTGTTAGGCAAGAGTTCGGCACGGGAAGGAGTCATCCTGGAGCCGGTGGGGGAGAGCCTGATTAACTCTGCCCAGGAAATCCGGTTGGGTGCTATCCCGAAGGGGGAAGGGACAGGAGTCCCATTCTCGCCTGGTCGAAGAACTAGCTGTTCCCCCTCTGATTGTCGGGACGACAATCTGAAGAGGAGGGGGGCAGTGTTACGCCCGCTAATATTGGACGCCCAGTATCTGGCGATTTGGCGAATTCCCTCTATGATGTTCAAGTTGCCTGGTTACGGTGGTGTTTTGTTGTCAACACGTTTGTAAATGAGAGAGAGAGTTTGGCCCCTGCCTGGTGCAGACGTTCGAGGGCCGTTCTTTCTGTGTAATAAAGATCTCCTTTTTTCCTTCCTCACACGGCTCTATTTCAATTACGCGAGCGCGCACGCGAGTACGCGAGTGCGCGAGTGTGCGAGTGCGCGAGGTGTTGTGCGGACGGCGGAGCCGGACGTAACAATATATATTCTTTTCTCTAACCTAACAAGATTTTTATTGCAGCACGTACGACCAAATATTGGCCGACGCTATGGCCAAAGCGGAGATGAACAATAATAAAAAAGCATCTCCGCCCGGTCGCGCGGTGCTGCAATTATTGCAGTCGCCACAGCCACCGCCACCGTCGCCGCCACCGGGGCCTCCGCCGCCGCCACCGGGGCCTCTGCCGCCGCCACCGGGGTCGAAGGAGTCGAAGGAAAACAATCTGCCGCCGTCGTCTTCGACGACTGATAGACAGCGTAAGTCTGAAATTCGCGTAAACTACACGACGGTCTCGCTGTGCGCGGTTCTAGCTGCGCTTATACTTGATACGAGACTATCGTGTTTCATTACTATATACTAACTAAAAATTCTTTGTTACATTACAGCAAGGTGGTATCGAGCTGGGCGCGGGCGGAATGCGGATCGCGGCGGTAGCCACAATCGTGGCCGTGGCCGTGGCCGTGGCTTTGCTATGAAATATGGCAACATATATTTCTATTGAGGAGGCTCGATAAAAGTGGAGGAGGGAACCCCCCCCTCACACACACGCGCCCGCGCGCGCGCGCGCGTATATATATTATATATTTTATAGTATACAATAGTACTCTGCTTCACAAGCGGTACAATTTATTGTTATCACATTACGAGAGGGGGCTGTATTAACAGCCACCGCTGTGAATAATGATTTTAGTTTTGTCTAATTTTTATTTTTGCAAATTGTACCGCTTGTGAAACAAAGAGTACTATCGCAACATCCACCGCTGTTAAGTTTATTTTTATTTTATTTTCATATTTAAATTTAGTGTATTTTCATATTTAAATAGTACTCTTTGCTTCACAAGCGGTACAATTACTACTATTATATTACGAGAGGAGGCTGTATTAGCGGCAACGGCTGTGAATAATTAATTTTTAGTTTTGTTTAATTTTTATTTTTCCAAATTGTACTGCTTGTGAAACAAAGAGTACTATCACAACATCCACCGCTGTTAATTTTATCTACATACGTAATGATGTCAACAAATTGCGCCAAATACAGGGTGCGGCAGCATAACTTCCTTTTTTAAAATGTGCGCCATTTAGTCGGTTGATGCCGTAGCGGAGCACTAGTGGTCTCGTTCGAGAGGCGGGACTATAAAGTTTTGTCCCGACACAATTCAGTCGCCATCATGTGTTGGAACAGTGAGGAGCGTGCGTTTGCCGTTGAGGCCTACTTTTCGAGCGGATGTTCTGTGATCGCAACCCAGCGCGCCTTTCGGAATCGCTTTAATTTAGCCCCGTTGGCCTCTGTCCCGGACCGGAAATCAATTGTTACGTGGGTCACTACACTGAGAAAAAAATTTACTTAAATCAAGAAAATATATTTCTTTGAATTTAGTTTCCTAAATTTAAAGAAATATTTGTAGATTCAAGAAAACG